GAATCCAGCCTGTTCCGAGTAAGTGGATTTATAGCCCCATTATTTGAATATTTCACTGAGCATGCTTTAACTGATTTCGGATGCAACGATTTGCAATCTAAATATTGATGAGAATGCTCTGATTTTCTATAGACCAAACTGTCTTAAAATAAAACGCTCAACTATCTCAATGCATTCAGTAGCTTATAATCATCAAATGAGGTGCGTTAGAGAAAATTTCCTAAAAGCCAGTATATTTCGGTAGAGAAAGACTAATTAACAAATCTTACTGCCGACCAGTTTTTATCATCTTACACCAAAATACAATGCACGACGCTGTCGCATTAACTAGCTTAATGATAGTATTTCAGTTTTGATCAATAGACTTCTATCACTACTAAGAAGTAAGAACCAGATAACTAAGTCACTTATTCCACTGGAAGTCAATTCATGTACACGAGAAAGTATTTTAAAAGTAATACTTTTGTAAGGTAATGGTAATCACGGACTGATATCAGTTGAAGAACCATTGAAAATATGGGAACATTGGATAGTTGTTTCGTCCTATTATATGACTTCTTAGCAGTAAGCTTTCATGACCCTGCTAGAGATCGGACTGAAGATATTCAAGTTTCATAGTGAACGCGTTATCATTCAGTCACTAAGTTGGAGTTCACTAGTTCACAGTGTCCTACTTCTGCCAATTCGCGATATAGCGCAAATATCCTCCAAGGTGTTTAGTTAGCATCCGCTTCACTTCCGACTGTTTGACCACCCAGGTCACAGTTTCGCATTATAACTTCGGCATACCCATCTTTGGGCATGTCCCTAATAAGTACAGTATTGTATATTGAGGTGGATGTGGATTTTATTTTGAAGGCTGTATGCAACACGGATTGACATCAGTTTGCGAATCAATAAAAAGTTGTGAAAACTGGACAGCTGTTTCAGTCTAATAAAATTTCAGTTAACCTCAAAATATAACACTTTCATGTCAAGTCCCAGAAGTATTTCTGTTTTTACTTGCCTTCTAGTAACATTTAAAACAGTTTATAAGAATACTGTGAACACTTTTTTATGCCACACTGGTACATACTTTTTCAGTCACTGAGTTTTTTGAAATAAACACCACATGTTGATCGTCTCAACCGAAAGCAGGTGAACAATTACTGTATTTTTAAGTTATCACGCATATACAATTCCTCAATGCGTGTTCAGCATAGAGTTGTCCACTTCTGTCCACTTCAACGGTTTATACCGTTGTATTTAAACACAGTTTATCGTAAGTTTTACTGGTGACATGCTAAATACACGGGACTGATAGTCTGTTCAATCGATAAGGGGGATCTAAGATTACCCTTTTAATATCTCTCAAATCATTAATAACGATGCAGAAATACTTTCTGCGGATAAGTAACACTAACAGCTAGTAAATTTTACTTCTCGACATTTCCATAATGTTTTCATACTATGTAGTTAAATATTATCAGTGGAACCCAGTAGTGGTAGTAGTAGTGGCAGGAGTTAAATGAAACTTCTTTCACTTCATAAGCATCATAAGTTTAAAATGTGTCTGTTCTGTTGATTCCGAGACAGATTATCACAGCGACATCTTCATGAGTCATTTTTGCAGAGTTATTATTTGTGAAACAAAAGGTCCTGCTGTGTCACACTTACAATTCATACATGTAATATTTTATCAACCAGGTTTTCAAGATGTATGGTCTTGTTTTTCTGATGAAACAATAAAGTAGTGCACAATTCTATCATTTTGTACTTCCAGAGTGTTAACACGTTTTTCATGACATACTACAGTGAAGAGAAATAATCGTCTGTGGATTATGAAAAACAATATTTTAAGTAATTTGATTGCTTCTGTGACTGAACACTTTCTAGCAAAAGGGTTTTTGGATTAGATTGTGTGTTGAATCGACTGATGAACCAAAATAATGGAAGAGCGATTGCAACACAGCATTTATTCACACTACTAAGCTCAAGCATATCACTGTGGAAGGAAAACATCATGAAGAATAACAATTGATGAAAGGAAGAAAGGTAGGAAATATATTGCTTCCGAATGATAAGATGTACAGGAAGTTTAGTTCCGTTTGGAGTCAGTTTATCTGTATGACTGCTACTGATTAATTACTGCTCAATTTGAAGTCTTTAGATAAATGTGTTTCATGCCATTCAGGTTGAAGTTATTGAAGTTGCAGTTGTACTCATCCGTTTATGGTGTTAACGGCATCTGGTAAACATCTTCACCTTACTGCCACTTCAAACAGCATTAGACTTCTCATCCAATATTACAACTCTATGACTCATGTTTATTCTTTGGATAATGCAGAGGGGACAGATTCATATACTAATGATCCTGTTCATTTGGCGGACACGTTCACAACACTACTGCAGAAGGTTTGCAAGGAAGGAAGGAATGAAAGTTACCTGCCCATTGATTGGAAGAAAGGCTACCTTGTCAAACTCCCGAAGAACGGAGACCTAAGTCTTTGCAAAAACTGGTGAGGAATTATGCTCCTGTCTCTGTCCACCCAAGCAAAATGTTAGGTCGCATCATCATGGAGAGACTAAAGACGGTGCTGGATTCAAAACCACGACCCAAACAGACTGGATTCAGGAATTACAAATCATGTGCGGATCAAATTGCAACGCTACGCATCATCATAGGACAGAGTAGTATAGAATGGCAGTCAACTGGATCTCTACCTTAACTTCATCGACTTTGAAAAGACCCTCGACTTGTCAGGCAGCTGCTTCAACACTACGGAGTGCCATTAGTCTTTATCAACCTCATTCAACAACTATGTGAAGACGCCACATGCCAAGTAGTTCACAATGGAAAGCTCAGTGATGTCCTCGAAGTGAAGTTAAGACAGGAGTAAGACAAGGTGGCTGTCTACTATCACCCATGATATTCCTGATTGTGGTCGACTGGACTGGATCATGTAACAAACAGTGAGGAGTGAGGAGAGGGGGATACGCTGGACCGCTGAAAAGAACCTAGAAGACTTAGATTTCGCCGATGACGTGTGTCTGATGTCGCACAAACTTGAGGATCTACAGGTGAAAACTGACAAGTTGACAGAAGAGACAGGGCAGCGAAGGGAGACGGGACTTCAAGTGAACGTAGAGAAGACGGAGGTGATGATGATACCCAACCAACGCCACCACCACCAACAACAGAAAGCTGCAATCACCATCAATTGGAGAAACTTGAGAGAAGTAGCCTCTTTCACCTGTCTATGCATCATCGTTTCAACTACAGGTGGCTGTGGCACAGACGAGGACGTCAAAGCCAGCCAGGATCGGAAAAGCAGCAAAACAGGTGTTGATTAGCCTGAAACCAGTATGGACATCTTCCGCACTCAGTATGCGGAACAAGATCCCGATATTCAGCACTAATGTCGGTCAAGTCAGTGCTGCTATATGGTTCAGAGGCTTGGCGCGTTACGAAGGGGATTTCCAACAAACAACAGACATTCATCAACAATTGCCACCTACGCTGGTTACTGACACTGAAGCTCAGATCACCAGAAATAATAAGCAACAAGGAACTCTGGCTGGCTGGCTGGCTGGCTTGCTAGCTGGCTGGCTGGCAACGAACCAACCAACCATGACCCTATCGCTCAACAGATATTCAGAAGGAAGTGGAGGTCGATTAGACATGTACTGAGAAGTCCATTCGGTGATATCACGCGCCAGGTCTGGCACTCGAGTGGAACTCAGATAGGAAACGACGAGTTGGGTGTCCGAGGCGAGTGTGACTTGGAGGATACCGTATGAGGAAGCAATGGTAGCTTGGGAGCAGTTGTGGAGGCATGTTCGAAAGATTGCAGAGAACAGAGTGGAATGGAGACGTGCTACTGAATCTCTATGTTCCACTAGAAACCCAGGGGACAAATATATTTTAATAATAAAATTTGACGAAACCCATGCGAATAGGCCTAGTTTGTTTAATTCGCTTCTACAGCTGCGAAGTAAAATGCAGTGCGTTAATGGGCTATATTTTCATGTTTGGAAATAAGATGTGTGGCGGTCTATCGTTTTCTTATAGTCTAGTATGATCACTGTCCAGCAAAGATTTGAGCAAGACAGTTGTCTATGTTGTTTGCTTCATTGTCAACGAATAGTCATTCATTAATCCATAAACCCTCTCCAATATGTTTTAATATTGAACATGACTATAGTGTACCTAGATGTTTAAAGTTTTCTATCAATACAAAAATTTCATTCTGATGAATCCTGTGAAAGCAAGGATTATTGGGCTGGATAACGATTCTTCCTCTCCAGTGTAATATATTCTATTAGCTCATGAAACCTTTCTATCAGAAAATAAATATATGATCTTGGCTGATTGATTCCCAATGGAAATCCTGTAGACGACACAGTTGTGAAGTTAGTATACCACTCTGCGTTGAGAAATCTGATTATGTACCATACAGTTCGTGAAACATACCGATTTATCCGAATCAGAGAAGAGGATTCATTTGGTCCTGAAACTTCAGCCTGATGAGCTTGATCCATCAGTTTATATTGGCAAAAGATCAACTCTAGCTGGGCCAGGCAATCATTTGGTGATTAGTTCACTTTGATCTGGCTGTAAATATCTGCAGATCAACATGAATCGTTTCTGAATACTCACATTGTTCAGCAACAAATCTATTATCTTCATGTTCAGCTGCATTATATAGCTTCTTTGAGAATTATTAAAGCCATTTGAAGAAAACTTTTACTTAGTTTGACCGATGAATTCATCTTTTTTAAAATGTCTTTTCAGCAAAATTTTCTGAATATTTAAATGAAACTTTCTCAAAGATTATGGGGATTTAACCTTGAGGAACACTTATAAACATTAAAACCAACATTGGACCATTGGATTTTCTTTTAAACTCCTACAGTGGTAAAAGTGGAATATTTTCATCTTAATCCTTTTTTACTATGACATATTTTATCATCAAATATTTTTTCTGTGTACTTAAATGATATTCTTTTTCCCGTTATAGAAGATCAAGATACAGACCCGTTTCTGCTGACGAAAAATGTTACACTGCAGAAGAATACAGATGTCAGAGATTACTATAAAGTAGGCGTATACTTGGGGAGGTGAGTCATAACTTTTCCCTATATTTTGTCTTCGAGCATTCAGTATCTTTTGATTTCTCTAGTGTAAAGTTAGCATTAAATGTTGAAACCACAAGACTCAAGGTATGTGTCATTCACTAAGAAAGGCTTATACTCTGATCACTTTTGTGTTCATCCAGTCAGATTTAACTTGTCGTTGGCCGAATCAATACGTCAACGCTTTTTATCATCCGACTGTATCTTAGAAGTGGCCTTCTTCTACAAAACAAACCTTTGTCGCCGGCGAAATCATTTTATTATACTGTCCACTCTTTAGACTAAATTTTACGCTATGCTCATTTCAGCTTTCTTTTAAAATAGAATGAAAACTAATGGACATAATTGCTAAGTGCAGTCAACGGATATTTTATCACTAATTATGAAACAAATATTAGAACCAATCAAGTAGATACCCCCACATTTTATACCTTTCTAAATGAAATAAATATAACACTGCAAGGTCACTCTAGGCAATGTATAGTTAGAAAGATAATTATCTGTGGAGTAAAGCGTTTATTTTTTTAGTTTTTGGAGGAACATAAAAACATCCGTAAGACATTCCTTTTTACCTTGGTCAACTTATAGTTAGTATGCTGGGGAAAAAATCATTACATCACAAAATTACAAATTTTCTGACAAACAAAGATTTCAGTGTGACTCTTTACTTATGTGTGCTGACATTTTGAATTGGCTGATTTTGAGAGGGTTGATTAACATCATCATTACCATCCCGTTCTTAAACATAAACTGCCAATCCTAATTTCTTAAACTTTATTACAAAGAAAACACTCCTGTAAAAGATCAGACAGAGTTGAAAAATACCACTGAAAATGATTTTTTTTTCAATTTTTTGAACATGTCTCGTTGCGAAAATAAATTACATAATTGGTAGGTGGGTAACTGTAGCCATTTAAGCTACCTTCACACAGCATGTCGGTAAATAAAATCACACGAAAACTACACATTCGTAAATGAAACTAATTGAAACAATTAGAAATAATACGCGAAGATCATATGTTATTACACTAGAACTCGTAGGAAAGCAAAGATTCAGTGTCATACACAATAAAAACAAGTATCGTCAGACCGAAAAATCATTGACCAGAAGATTCACTGTTTACAAAGAAACTTGATGTATGCTGACAGATTGTCTTGAGTGTTCAGACAAAATAGCTTGAGTGTTTGAATAAACATAGCAAAAATATACTGGGAATATTTATCAAGCAAAAAGACGTGACTAAATTTCGTATAACCCTGATTTGTTTACATCGATTGGTCGCTGGAAGGCAACCAATTTCATGTTATGTAGTCCTGACTGAATTCTGTCAATCATTTACGCATGTGGCCATCGAGTTACAAGGCTTACCATCGCAGTGGACTTCCGGTGGATGTCAGATGATTGGATGTAATTGGCAGGAAGCCTAGGTTTCGTGCTTGTTGGTACTCGTTAGTAAGCTGTATCTTCAACCTGTAAAGAAGTGATATCCTCTCTGAGATTTGAACCCGTGTAACTCAGCTTTATGGTCAGTGAAGTTACCAATGAGGTATTCGGGCCACGACTGACCTCTTGTATGAACGAAACCTAGGTCCAGGGCTTGCTACCGAATGCCACCTGCCAACTGGTACCCATCAAAGTACACCATGATAGTGAGTCGCCTAGCTTGGTGGCCACATTGTAAGACTGTCGGTAGAATTCGGTCACCATTCAGGACCAGGCAAGATAATATTGGTTGCTTTCTAGTGACCAGTCAACGTATGTAATCCAGTCCTTGAGTAGATAGGTTATCTCCCGAATAGCTCAGTCAGTGACGTCGCTGATCGGAACACTCAGTGATGTTGGTCCGAGTTCTACACGGAATATCACTTCCCTTAAGGTTTCAGATAAGCCCTTCTGGTGAATGTTTACAAGCATAAAACCTAGGTGCAGGTCTTCTTACCGATTGCCTCCAACCAACTAAATGATTTCTTTTGCAGTAACTTGACTAGCAGAGAATGGAATAGTACAACTCTGAAGTGATCAGCAATCATAAATTTTGTAGTTTTCAAGAGATTGTAGGATTCGTAGAATTGATTCAGAAGAAGAATTGTTCTTCAGTTAGCACTCGTTTTGGTTTGCATGAAGTTCACATGGTTCAGAAAATATGGATGCAAACGTTTTTACTAACTCAAGAGTGCTGATATAAATATTTCAACAAAAGCTGAATACTATGAATTCATTTTATTCAGAGGTCTATTGTCATCTGTTTCCAAACTGAAAGTAAATGAAAATAATGTTTTCTGGTTCTAATTAAACTTGACTGGAGAAACCCGTTGGTTTTAAGAAAAGACGAAACTGTGGTGCCGTATGGAAATCAGCAAAGATGAAGTATACTAGCTGTTGTGTGTGCCATAGTTTTGAATTTCAGAATACATTATTCATATCATATTATGTGTTTTTGGCCGAAAGAGTTAATGTAATGTAATGAAGTTGTGGTTCAACACTTAATATTTGGTTGTAGACTCTTGATAATAAGGGTGAGTGAACACAAATTATGTAGGAGACATCCACTTAGGAATCAAGGCGAATTAAAAAATTCAGAAAAGCTATCAGCAATAGCTTTACATGCAACAGAAAGTATACACATGACTGATTTGGAGAATGCAGACGTTGAAATAGTGCAGAATATTTATAGCTCAGGTGGATGGTCTTGGTTGTATTGTGTTTTCTGAGCTAGCTCAGAGACTAACTTCCAAAGCCCTGAATATTTTAACAAAATCTAATGCGATAAACAGAAACGAAAGAACAGACTTGATACCTTTTTGCAAATATTAATCAGACAAAGGCATTAGTGATGACCTTTTTCTAAATTAAGTTTCAATAACATTGACAATTACTCTAGGCTCATAAATAAAAGTACAAGAAATGACATGTAGTCTACGATACAAATAAACACACACTTTGACTATCCAACATTTTCGTTGACAAATGAAAATGACAAGTATGAACTTGTAATGACTAATCTTAACTATTCAGGCTGAACAGGAAAATATCTAACCAATGATCTACATTCACTAAGTATTTGATGCATCATTTGACTATATATTTTGATGTTAATGAAAATCCGTAGATTCTGTTGAAGAAACTTTGGCTTACACAGAGAAACGTTCAGAAATATGTTGACTTAATTTTCTAAAAACGCTGGGATTATAATAAAATTTATTAGTATAGTGGCTAAACCAGACTCAGGGCTCAACTGCCTACATGATAATCATAACAACTATCGTCTAGATGTTTATAATAAACAACTCCCGTTTGGAAGGTTATGTCCGAAGAAATGAAAATACGAATCCCAGACAAACATAATCGGTAGTATTAGTTTATTTGCTTTCAAAGACGTCTTGCCTAAGACTTCTCTATTGATAATATTGTATAACGTGATTCAAAAGCGTCTTATTGACTCTTTACTCACTACCGTACGATTCATGATTGCAAAATATTCGCATATCAAGTGAAATCAGTTATTGTGCGTGTTGCCTATTCCTTTGTATGAAATGAATTATAGTGCGTCATTAGGTGGTGCGCGATATCTCCTTGCTTTCCGTAGGATGTTTCATTCAAAGAAAAAAAATATGTGGTTACGCAACCAACGATAACTGTCTTTCGATGAACTCGTTTTCATAGGTGTACATTCATGGCTTCAAAATTGTTACATCACGTTTTTATTTTTAGTTTGAGACAAATCTTCCCATTAAAAATTCCCTCTTATTTTTGTATTTTTGTTAACAAACATTATTAAATTTTCCACTGTTCCCCATTTAACGTATTATCATCCTGTAATTCCATTTCTATGCATGGTTTTGGTGTTCTAGTTACTTTGACTTCTGACCAGATATTCTTCTAGAACTTCTTGTTGTTTAAATAATATGTTCTCTTATATGCAGCTTTGGCAATGAGTTCATTGAAGGCACAGTTATCTCTGCCGAAATCATCTTTTTTATTTTTGCGATAGGTAAATGGCGACGTTTTCTGTCTAAAATGCTTTATTTCAAGCTGTAGTAACCTTGTAGTGTTACATGGTTTTTGTAGAAACTGAGTAATTTCTTCTACCTTTCATTTCTCAACTTACCAAAACGGGATTACTTCAGACTAGTTTACGTGTTGTATATATGTTTTATTGATTTACTGATACTTACCCTTAGCTGAAAATATATATATGACATATTCTTATCAATCATGCATTCATTAATACACAACTATGTGAACGTGTTCAGCACAAATGATAAATGGTTCATGCTAATAAAGCCATTTGCATTTAACAACCAGATCCTTTTCCTATCTATTCTAACGTATTAAACTGCACATTTTATTTGTAGGCTGTGAGTGTTTTGGATGCTTCAGATAAATTGTTGAATGCCTACTTTAGCAAACATTTTCTCTTTTAAAGGCAGTGGGATAAAAACCTGTCAGACGATTACCTAAAGATAGAAAAGTGAAAAATGAAAACTTCACAAATTTCCTCCGCAAAATGCAATAAGCAAATAGTTTAGCAACAGTGTAACATTTCCACATTACATGATAGGTTTCATGATACGGAAAATATGAACTAAGAGTAACTGGTCAAGCAGTCATGTATATATCTAGGTGGAATTCGTATCATTCTGGTGAATGCCAAAGCTCAACTTTCGGCTGACTGACTGTGAACATCCAATAAAACTAAAGATTCTTCCTAGATCCCACTGCTGGCCATCAAAAAGATTATAATATAATGAATATCCAAACAGTAACGAGGCATTCTCATGTAAGCCCATCTGTCAACAGAGGTCGAGCATTTTGATACAGTATAGCAACGGGAAATTATAAGTCTCAATAGACAACAACTGAGTTTTGACTTGCGCAGTTTGACACTATATTGTGAAATGAGGAAACAACATGTTTGTATTTGTTGTGATTTAAAGGCTACTCTATCAACCACTGAAATAGCCAGTTACATTCCTCTACGTCAACTAGGAAAGTAAATAAATTTTTCGTAAAATACCGAAATCTCAGTAGTCAGTTTAGTAATCACTAGGGTGACCTTTTAAATCACTCATGCATTTGTGAATATTGATATATATGGGTACTTATCCCATGTGGCTGTTTGAGATCATCTTTATTATTGGTATTTCTACTGACAGAGTAAATATTTTGAGCTTTCATATGAAAACTCTCAATTCTGTTCTAACTCAATTTACGTTCAACAAAAGTATTACATAGATGTGAACAAATAATGGTAGGAACATGATAGTTCTACATGTTGTCTTCAAAATAAAATATATCTTCAGCAACGAAGCGCAAGATGTTCTCAAGGTAATTCCCGTTTAAGGTGAAAAGACTGGAGTCTTATGCAAGAAGAAGAAATGTACAGCAGGAGGCAGAAAAATTTATTCGCCTGAAAATATAATGTTAGTCTAATTTTATGTATGATCAATCCCACCATTAACTGTATAACTTGTAATCAATCTAAAATAAGGTAGTTTATGACATTGTAAAGAAAACTAAAGGATCTTTATTGTGTCACTTCATGCATATGCTACAAAGACATATTGACCTTTTTCATAAAAAGGATTTTAGTATTCATGAAGAACTTTCAAAAAATTAGAACAGATAATAAACAGGAAAACTTTCAAAACTGCCATTCTTACTTACTTGCTTGGATTTCTCTGACACAAAAATGGAAACTTTTTACTGCATGTCTTTAGGTTCTTCTTCGTTTCTACACCCACTCTGGGTATAGTCGTTATCCTGTGTCGATCAGTTATGTTCAAACAGAGTGATCAGTTTCTAATCCTAAATGGTGAGTTGCGTTCTTGCACTACTAGCTTGGGTTTTAAACTAGTTGACTAATTGTTAATTATCCTTTAGTACGGGAAATTGTCAGTAAGAGCTAATAATTAGCACTTTGGTATTGTGCAAGTTACTATGCAGTATATTTTGGCATACAATATCTTTGTAAAACGTGACCATTGGAACAGTTAAAATGCTGCTTTAACTCTATGTTTTTATTGAATACTTTCAAACTTCTATGGTAATATCATCTTTGGTGAACCAGTTTTTAAGATCTGTTATTGAGAAGCTCATCTTTGAAGAATGAATTTCATACAGCTTTGACCAGATTATAAGCGTCGAAGTTATTACGACGATATTATATATTCCTATGCATACAATGAATTATTCCGCTCACTTTTTTCAATTAATTTCTTTGCTTAACTGATTTTAGTGGAAAATTCGGTGAAGTCAAGCGATGTCAAGAAATAAAAACTGGGCGGGAGTTCGCTGCAAAATTTGTTCCAATTGCCAGTAAAGAAGATATGGATAGTGTGATGAATGAAATTGCCATTATGAACACTTTGAGGCATCCTAGATTAATTCAATTATATGATGCATATCAAATCGATGAAGAAGTTACACTTGTCTTGGAATTGTAAGTCTTATTATTCATTGTTTTTGTTTAGATAAAGTGTTTAAAGAAAGAAATAGCTTATACAGTCACTGATAGCTAACAAACACACGACAAATCAATTTCGTTACTATGAATAGAACCACTTACTAGAGTAGCAGCTGGGATAAAGAATATAGAAATTACATAACTATTTCCTAATCCATAATATCTAGTGAGTTGTAGATGATTCTGGAAAGAGATCGTGTTTAATACTGTTTCACAGAGAGATGTTTATATTTTCATTTTTTACTCTTTTTTGCATGATATCTTGCCACTATAAAGTGGTAGTCAATTAGCCGTAAACAACGCTGCTCATTTGTCTTAAAGCTGGAATAGTTTCGAAGATTGTTATTCCTAATTTGTTTAGTTTTGTTCTTGCATGTCAAGTGCATAACCGTCTCAATTGTATGTTTTGAAAGAACTGGAAAAAAGTCAGATAGAAGAGTTGTTAATATCTCTCCTTTTTGTCCAGTGAGAGGCTGACACGCATGAGACGTCACCGGCAAGTATAGGAGGCTTGATGATTGCAGGTATACTCTGAATTATTACAAATTTTGAAGTATTTGTACCAATCTTGAGGCATAAAGCATGGAAATAGATAGTTTCTGTTACTCACACTTTCTCTCTTTCTCTCTCTGTATATATATATATATATATATATATATATATATATATATATATATATATATATATATATATATATATATATATATATATATAAGAACTACTTGACTGATCAGAAGATAGCATAGAAGCAGGACTTAAGACGAAAGTTTAGTCTCATGACAAGGTTTAAGTAGTAGTGAATGGAAGCTTTTTGGGCACAGAAAACTAATCACTAGTAATATCTACAGAGGGAAATGAGTACACTAAAAACTGGCACCGTATTGAGTTAGTTTGTCCAGCAACAGAAACTTGTTCATAAAACTCGTTTTTGCTATCTCTGTCAGTGATAATCAACTATTTACCTTTATCGACAGTAGGCTGATAGGGTGAACGTACTGTGAACTACACGTCTATCGGCAGACACAACTAGTCATATGTAGGTTTTATTTTCCGGTATGAAATTTGCTCCATAACCATCGTTGCGTAGCCATTTCGAGTTGAACATTCTACCTTTAACTATTTCAACAGTGAGACACTGAGGCTAATTTTAACATAACTTGACCTTACGGTGAAAAAGTGATTATTGATGTATATAATACTGGTATTTCAGCTGCTTTGTATTCTTGATACAGCATGATGATTGGTAATTTCTTTGCTTTTGCTATGTCATATTGTCAGTGTTGATCACTGACATTTTTGCCATTTCCCTCAACAGCTTACATAACCAGTTTCCAACTTGTCCAGATTTTTAAATAAAAGTGAACTACTTATGGCTTCTACCTTGAAATGATGGTTGAACTTGCATATCACAATCACCCAGCAAGCTACATTGACTGTAACGCTTGTTCCTTCAAGGTCCTACCATTCCAGAAAGGTGTGTTGGATAGTGGTTAGACAAAAAGTAGTTACCGCTGAAGTGTAAAATACTACCTATGACGGTGGCCTGAGAGGGGCGTCGTCTTGCTGCTAGCTGGATGGGGCGTGAAAGAAGCAAGGTGTTTCCTTGAATAACCATCAGTGCCGTGCTGATGCCGCCTTCACAATGGAAAGAGGGGTTAAAAGGGTCAGCCTCAAAACTGCCACACTTCACCTGCTTCATAGTCTTCCGGTGTTGATGATATGGGTCCTCTCTATCCGGGATTAGAACAACCAAACCTCAAAAAAACATCTTGCAAAAGGCTGTCTGTGACAGGTCTCAAGCAGATGTCCCATGCACTTAGAGGTAGCACAGATCTTTTTCTCTTTCGGATACCTTGAGCAGATATAGCCTTCCAGGTGTGGGCAACTGGGAAGTGTCAACTGCTCACATGGTTTCAGTAATACACAAGATCTAATCATGTACAACCCATCCTCCTGAACCCAGTCTCCCCTTTTGCCTTCACATGATACCAATATTAAGCCTCCTACACCTTCTCTAACGCCATCGATATCATGTAAAAGCTTTCGACGCCCGAACTGTAGTTCAAATTAGTGTTAGTATTTTTCCAATAGAATTATTTTTAAATTCACCCTAAGATCAAGTCGAATTTTACAGCTGTTTCTTCTCGACAAGAAACAGTTGCAAGAAAATGTGGTTCACTTGATTGTTCTAAGCATGGATATTTTACTAAATGAAACTATTATTATTATTATTTATCCCTTGAGTTTCTAGTGGAACATAGAGATTCAGTAGCACGTCTCCATTCCACTCTGTTCTCTGCAATCTTTCGAACATGCCTCCACAACTGCTCCCAAGCTACCATTGCTTCCTCATACGGTATCCTCCAAGTCACACTCGCCTCGGACACCCAACTCGTCGTTTCCTATCTGAGTTCCACTCGAGTGCCAGACCTGGCGCGTGATATCACCGAATGGACTTCTCAGTACATGTCTAATCGACCTCCACTTCCTTCTGAATATTTGTTGAGCGATAGGGTCATGGTTGGTTGGTTCGTTGCCAGCCACTGCGATGGTAAGCCTTCTAACTCGATGGCCACATGCGTAAATGATTGATAGAATTCAGTCAGGACTAGATAACATGAAATTGGTTGCCTTCCAGTGACCAATCGATGTAAACAAATCAGGGTTATACGAAATTTAGTCACGTCTTTTTGCTTGATAAATATTCCCAGTATATTTTTGCTATGTTTATTCAAACACTCAAGCTATTTTGTCTGAACACTCAAGACAATCTGTCAGCATACATCAAGTTTCTTTGTAAACAGTAAATCTTCTGGTCAATGATTTTTCGGTCTGACGATACTTGTTTTTATTGTGTATGACACTGAATCTTTGCTTTCCTACGAGTTCTAGTGTAATAACATATGATCTTCGCGTATTATTTCTAATTGTTTCAATTAGTTTCATTTACGAATGTGTAGTTTTCGTGTGATTTTATTTACCGACATGCTGTGTGAAGGTAGCTTAAATGGCTACAGTTACCCACCTACCAATTATGTAATTTATTTTCGCAACGAGACATGTTCAAAAAAATTGAAAAAAAATCATTTTCAGTGGTATTTTTCAACTCTGTCTGATCTTTTACAGGAGTGTTTTCTTTGTAATAAAGTTTAAGAAATTAGGATTGGCAGTTTATGTTTAAGAACGGGATGGTAATGATGATGTTAATCAACCCTCTCAAAATCAGCCAATTCAAAATGTCAGCACACATAAGTAAAGAGTCACACTGAAATCTTTGTTTGTCAGAAAATTTGTAGTTTTGTGATGTAATGATTTTTTTTCCCAGCATACTAACTATAAGTTGACTGAGGTAAAAAGGAATGTCTTACGGATGTTTTTATGTTCCTCCAAAAACTAAAAAAATAAACGCTTTACTCCACAGATAATTATCTTTCTAACTATACATTGCCTAGAGTGACCTTGCAGTGTTTTATTTATTTCATTTAGAAAGGTATAAAATGTGGGGGGTATCTACTTGATTGGTTCTAATATTCGTTTCATAATTAGTAATAAAATATCCGTTGACTGCACTTAGCAATTATGTCCATTAGTTTTCATTCTATTTTAAAAGAAAGCTGAAATGAGCATAGCGTAAAATTTAGTCTAAAGAGTGGACAGTATAATGAAATAAATAATAATAATAATAAAATAGCCAGCGAGCCAGAGTTCGTTGTTGCTTATTATTTCTGGTGATCTGAGCTTCAGTGTCAGTAACCAGCGTAGGTGGCAATTGTTGATGAATGTCTGTTGTTTGTTGGAAATCCCCTTCGTAACGCGCCAAGTCTCTGAACCATATAGCAGCACTGACTTGACCGACATTAGTGTTGAATATCGGGATCTTGTTCCGCATACTGAGTGCGGAAGATGTCCATACTGGTTTCAGGCTAATCAACACCTGTTTTGCTGCTTTTCCGATCCTGGCTGGCTTTGACGTCCTCGTCTGTGCCACAGCCACCTGTAGTTGAAACGATGATGCATAGACAGGTGAAAGAGGCTACTTCTTTCAAGTTTCTCCAATTGATGGTGATTGCAGCTTTCTGTTGTTGGTGGTGGTGGCGTTGGTTGGGTATCATCATCACCTCCGTCTTCTCTACGTTCACTTGAAGTCCGTCTCCCTTCGCTGCCCTGTCTCTTCTGTCAACTTGTCAGTTTTCACCTGTAGATCCTCAAGTTTGTGCGACATCAGACACACGTCATCGGCGAAATCTAAGTCTTCTAGGTTCTTTTCAGCGGTCCAGCGTATCCCCCTCTCCTCACTCCTCACTGTTTGTTACATGATCCAGTCCAGTCGACCACAATCAGGAATATCATGGGTGATAGTAGACAGCCACCTTGTCTTACTCCTGTCTTAACTTCACTTCGAGGACATCACTGAGCTTTCCATTGTGAACTACTTGGCATGTGGCGTCTTCACATAGTTGTTGAATGAGGTTGATAAAGACTAATGGCACTCCGTAGTGTTGAAGCAGCTGCCTGACAAGTTAATCGGTCGACGCTGTCGAGGGTCTTTTCAAAGTCGATGAAGTTGAGGTAGAGATCCAGTTGACTGCCATTCTATACTACTCTGTCCTATGATGATGCGTAGCGTTGCAATTTGATCCGCACATGATTTGTAATTCCTGAATCCAGTCTGTTTGGGTCGTGGTTTTGAATCCAGCACCGTCTTTAGTCTCTCCATGATGATGCGACCTAACATTTTGCTTGGGTGGACAGAGACAGGAGCATAATTCCTCACCAGTTTTTGCAAAGACTTAGGTCTCCGTTCTTCGGGAGTTTGACAAGGTAGCCTTTCTTCCAATCAATGGACAGGTAACTTTCATCCCTTCCTTCCTTGCAAACCTTCTGCAGTAGTGGTGTGAGCGTGTCCGCCAAATGAACAGGATCATTAGTATATGAATCTGTCCCCTCTGTATTATCCAAAGAATAAACATGAGTCA